ATATAAGAAAGAAAACAGAGCGGTGTTTGTTATATCTTGCACCCTTCGTAGCTGGAGAAAAAATATGAGAAACTTATGGAATGAAAGGGATTGCTGAAGGAGAAAGAGTTACACAATGAGGGCTATCGCGTTTTATACGCGATAGCTCCGCAGCTAGTGGCGCTTGTGTAGCATCAGGTCTCCGAAACATCCAATGTTATTGCTTGTGAGTTGACTACGCGGGTTTATTTCTAATTAAAAAATTGTTGTGAATATTTGGTAATAATTCAGATAAATTATGGGAAATTATGAATTACGTGTCAAAGAATGTCAGTTATTTAAAAGTGGAGCTAAGATAAATTATTATGACCTCCTTTTTTTCCGAACAAAACGGAAGTGCTTGCGCACTTCCGTTTTTGTCACTGTTGCATGGCCGATTATGTTTACGATACGGTGCTTTTGTAATAAAATATGATTTAAATGCAAACTTGGATTTCGCGCGCGTATTAACATACTTGAAAAGCTACACTTCAGGACCTCACTCAACAGTGGCGTCATCTGGTGAGACAAAAAACGGTAGTCCTCATTAGGTCATCGGTCTAATTTTACAGTGCAGTTTGATTTCTTTGGCTAAGACACTACTTACACTTATTTGTAATTGGTGCTGAATGCGAGTCGTCCTTAATAGTTGCCACCCATAGGATGTCACAGGCAGATTGTAGATTTATCCAAATCCTAGGTATATAACCTAGGACGTCGATAAGTCGTATTGTTAATGCGATACGATCTACAGCGCGGCGAATAATAAAAAATCATAATACAATTTTGAAAGTATTCTGTCCTGAACATATTAATTAAATGAAATACAATGATTTATTCATAAATCCAACGATATTAAAAACCCTAGATATATCACGAGCGCTCAAAATGTGTCCCAAACAAGAAGTGTTTATCCGGCCCGGCATTGCACGAGCGAAATTTGTTTAATTTAAATAAAATATATATTTAATATATATAGTTTAGTAGTTTGGCAGATTATTTGTTGCAAACATACAACTCTTGCCTCTTTATAATGTAAGTAAAGATAGTTAGGATAATATACACTTCTGGACACATCTATTGGCCCACCTTAGAGTTTAGGTTTCGATGGCCCCTACCGAAATATGATTGCTAGATTGAACAAAAACTGTTGATGCAGTTTTAAACCTGATACATTTTACCATCTTTTTCGATCGTATTGTTTTAAATCGTATCGTATTTGTAACATGTATTTAACTTATTTTTCTACCGTATACTGTGGGCATCAAGGGGAACGATATAAGCCAGACTTCTACGTCTCTTGTGAATATCTTTCAAACATTGCACTTGACAGGCACCAAATAGAGTCAAAGTTGAAAAAGATAGATAAAAACAAGGGACCAGGTCCAGACGAGATTCCGCCATTTTTCATAAGTGAGTGTGCATCTAATTTGGTGGATCCATTAAGTCAAATATTTGATAGTTCCTTAAAAACGGGTACGTTTCCTGATGTGTGGAAGAAAGCAAAGGTGGTTCCCATACATAAGCATGGCGATAAAACCTTAGTCAAAAGTTATAGACCTATATCTATTGAGTGCTTTCTCGAAAATTTTTGAGTCCCTTCTGTGTCCAATTTTACAAAACCATATGAAACATTTAATATCTCAAAATCAGCATGGTTTTGTTACGGCTCGGTCAACATGTACTAATCTAGTCTCATTTACGGAATTTTTAGCCGAATTAATAGACTCGCGTAAGCAAATAGATGTTATATACGCAGACTTAAGTAAGGCATTTGACCGAGTCACACATAGCATCTTAGTCCATAAACTGTCAGTATATGGGATAGCGGGACCACTTTTAAATTGGTTTAAGTCATATCTAGACTCAAGATCCTTTTATGTTGTTATGAATGGGGCGAGGTCGAGTAAACACGTCATTACATCTGGCGTGCCTCAGGGCTCTCATATTGGGCCTATCCTATTTAATTTCTTCATTAATGACATTTCAGAAAGCTTCCAGAACTCTTGCCCATTCCTATATGCTGATGATCTAAAAATTGCAAGATCGATTGAATCTCACAATGATACTCTGTTGCTCCAAGCTGATATTGATAGACTTTCGGAATGGTGCATCAACAATAACATGAGTCTCAATATCCAGAAATGCTTTTACATGAGATTTTCTCGCAATCGCAAATGTGTTCCTTCCTCTTACTCTGTGTCAGGCGAATTAATACAGGAAGTTCACCATATTAAGGATCTGGGTGTTATATATGACAGTAAGCTCACATTTGGTCTGCACATGGATCACATAATTAAGAGAAGTTCCAAAATGTTGGGTTTCATTATGAGAAATGGAAAATTATTTCGCAAAACTGAAACTAAAAAATTACTGTATAACAACTTTGTTCGTAGTACTCTTGAATATTGCAGTGTAGTATGGCGTCCACATTTTTCAACGCATAATCTTAGGTTGGAAAGACTTCAAAAGAGGTGTGGCATTTGGCACGCTTTTCGGGAATTGCTAATAGGATTAGAAACTATAGTGACAGACTATTCTACTTCAATATGATGCCATTGAATAAGCGACGTGACTTGTTGGATCTGCAGTTTCTATACAAACTTCTCAGGAACAAAATTGACTGTTGCCAACTGCTAGGAAAAATAAAATTCAACGTTCCCCGTAGAAACCCACGGCTCGCCATAAAACCATTGATCCCACCCTTGCGTAGAACTGTCCTAGGCGCTAATTCCCCAATACCTCGTTTGTGCAAACTCCTCAACAAATATAGTCGGACCTTAGATGTCAATAACGATTCGCTGGCAAAGTTCAAACAAGGATTTCTGGAGGCTTATGAGACATGACATGCATGTAAATGTTAAGCATTAAGTGACAGTTGATAGAAACATAAGATTTAAAGCTTAATATAACACAAATTCTAAAATAAAAATGAATATATGATCGGTTACTTTATGCATGACTCTGTTATTAGTTTTTATATAAGTAATCTTTGTTATTATTATAATATATAAAAAAAATGTTCACTTTACCTAATATATGTAAGTGCATGCAGTGTTGGCCTTTAACTGGTTAGCACATTTAACATTAAATTTAGTAGATAAGATTTATTGTAAGTTTCTATGTAGCAACCGTTGGCTGACCTAAATAAATAAATAAATTTGAATTCAGAATTCCATACGACATGGAGCTACGCCTAACAAGTCGGATATGCGCCTTGTTAAAGGCAATTGATTTTTGAATAAAAAACATGTTTTTTCAAATAAAGGTTTAATTTAATAACGCGTGTTGCCTCCATGGGCATCTACCACAGCTCTCATACGATTAGGCATAGAGTTTATCAACCGCTCTATGAAATTTTGAGGGATCATCTCCCATTCCTCTTCTATGGCAGTTTCAACTCCTGCATCGTCTGGGCAACTGGCTGACGAGCCCTAACACGTCTTATTAGCTCATCCCACATGTGCTCAATGGGGTTCATGTCTGGGCTTCTGGCTGGCCAGTCCATAACTGTGATGTTCACATCCCGAAGATATTCCCTGACGATGCCGGCCACATGGGCTCTTGCATTATCATGCATAAAAAGGAAATTTGGGCCCACATAGTCCGCGTATGGTATCACGTGAGGTTCTAAGCACTCACGAATGTACATTTCAGCATTTAATGTTGCTAGCCGTGGTCCTGTAACAACCTCAAGTTGAGTTTTGCCGCTCGCGGATATACCGCCCCAGACAGTCCATGAGCCACCGCCATAAGCAACCATCTCTTCAAAGCAGCATTGTGCGAAACGCTCTCCCTTACGTCGGTAGATCTTCTTCCTTCCATCATTGCCATGTAACACAGTTTTAGACTCATCAGAAAAGAGTACACGGCTCCAATCTTGCCGTGTCCAATTTAAATGACTGCGTGCGAAATGAAGGCGCGCTGTTCGGTGGGCTCGCGTTAGTTTGGGCCCATTAGCTGGCTTGTGTGGTTCCATATCGCGTTCTTTTAACCTTCTCCGAACAGTTCGATTGCTCACAGATACTCCGTGGAAGTCGCGAATTTGTTTTTGTATCTCAATGGAGGTAAGGTGACGATTTCTCAAGCTGGTCGTCACGATGAATCGATCCTGCCTTTCAGTTGTGACCCGAGATCGTGGCCTTCCTTGGCGACGAACAAAGCCGCCAGTCTCTAGGTACCTCCGATAAACATTTCGGACCGCAGATCGACTTAAATTAAGTTGAGCACTCACGTTTCTTTGGCTGTGTCCGGCCTGAATAAGTGCCACAGCTTGGGCGGCGACTTCAGGTGAAGTATCCATAGATTATTGATAGAACCTCATCTTAATGTTAAGAATAAGTAATGTTTGTTGCAAAACCAAAGATATCAATCACTTTTTCAAGAATTAAATCCAAGTAATCCAAGAAAAACAAGTTTTCTAAGTATTCGATTGTTTGATATCAACAAACAGGCTCCAAATTGTCTTTTGTTTCTTTAAATTCTGTGTTCGAAATTCAAAAAAAGACTATTGAATGAAATTGTGAATGTGCCAGGTTCAAAACTGCATAAAAACTTTTTGCTCGACCTAATATAAAATTTTAGAACGAAATTGAAAATACAAGGTGGGCCAATAGATGTGTTCAGAAGTGTACTACACTATACACTATGTAACTCAACTAAAATACCTAAATCAATGTCAAACTGCCTCTAACTCAAAATCAATTTGATATTAACTTTTTTTGAAATAGGAATGATAACCGCCGATCTTTTCAGGTGCTTATATACTCTTTATAGTTTCATATCCAATATATTCATATTCAATGCAAGGTTTTACGCTGCAATAACTTCATTTATGTCACTTTTAATGTTTTCTTCTAAGGAATTTTTAATAGGTAAGAAATTTTCTTTAACCGCAGTTGAACCACTATTACTGTTATACATACTAAGAAATCAATCTTAACCGTTATGATTTTCCTTATAAGTTCATGGATAGTTCTTCTATTATCATTAACTTTTTCAGGATTTTCAAGCTAATAGTTTAACTTTTAGGGGGGGGGGGGGGGCGGGACCTTCTCTAATAAAAATTGGCACATTAAAGTTCAACATTTCGCAAACGGATCCCTAAATCAAAAAATAGTCTAAGGAACCCTTTTTCAATTCAACGGTATCCCACATGATAGGGAAGACGATGCAAAAAACCCATCACCAGGTTACATGTAAAGTGTTACCCATTATTGAAAATTTTGATCCATTCTTGAATATCTAATGGATCTCGACTGTCAAAGTAGCTTTGTTTCTTACTCAACAGAATTATAGACTACTGGACTTGTTTATTTCTTTTCAGTTTTTATTTGAAGTAATATTTAAGCAGTCGGGTATTTTGGGTATTATAAATTTACCTTTTCGTTTGACCACGCGAACATCTTACGGAGCTCCGTAAGATGATCATCGTCCAATGTACCTTTTGGACACGTTTCGGCCACGATTTTGTTCGAGGTTGTTGTATCCAGGGTATTAAATATCGTTGGATAAATCATAAAATTTCAATAAGTAAATTGATACTTTGCTAGGAAGTAATTTCTTTAGCACCACTACATAAGTAAAACTTTAAAATATGTGTACTTGACACTATAAATTGGTAGGTATTAAAACTGTCAAGCATCGGTTATGCACCCGCTCGATCATATTGCGGCTAGCCGTTATGTGCTATGTATGACCTTGGATGTTTCCTATGTACACGCCAATCTGCCAGATGGAAAACAACGGCACCGAGTCAAAAAGTGTATGTTTCAAAATATTTTCAGCTTATTTTAACTAATCACATAACATATCACACAAATCAGTCCTTTACTTTGTGTATTCTAAAAAAACATCTGTAATCAGTTCTAAAAATCTACGCTTATTAATTATTTTGAAGTAACTTCTAAAAGCGGAACCTTATCTTGAGTCGAAGATTTTGTTGGTGTAGTGTTATTCACAGGATTTTTGAAATACATTGCTACCGCTATACTGACTAGACCAATTGACACTATTGTGTAGCGTGTAATGTAAATATTGAATAACATATAACATACTACAGCTGTAATTATCAACTCTAAAGCACTTGCGTAAGTTTTTAGAATTGAATTAAGATTTTTTAAAAAGAAACTTGTGACGATACCGACTATCGCACTATTAATTGTAATAAGTATTACAAATATATCACCTAATGATTGGAAATCCTCTACTACAGTGGAAAGTTCCCCTTTGAACATTAATATAAAAAAGTTACATATTATAGAATCTAGGTACATGAAGACATTCTGTAGAAATATATCTACAGTAGCACCTTGCGATTTTAATAAATACTCATTATACGTACCCGCTAAGCAAGAGCAAAAATTTTGAAAATTTATGGAAAGGAAATATATATTAAATATTTGTGACCATGCGTTCGAGTCGCTGTCTGATGACACGGTAGTTCTAGCTGCATCAAAGTTTTTGATTATGCATCCTGTTGTGAGAATCGCCAGCGATATCCATTGGATGAATGACAACTTTTTCTTGAAGAGGTACTGCAATAAAAAAAATATATTAGACTTCACTCCGATTGACTTTATCATTAATTCCAATCACAAATTTTATCTAAACATTACAAGAAAATTAAATATGACAGGAGGGCCGAAACAGTGCGGAAATGTACGATAGATAGCCATATCGACTGTGATAAAATCGTCCATTCATGGCAGTATTTACAAAATAACTAATAACGAGCATACGAGGTTGTAAAATGTATTATGTCAAAAATATTTTCTAGAATGTACGCTGTTAGCTTCATGATTTGTTTGACAGTCAAAAGTTACGCCGTAGAATTTTAATGCAGTTTAGTCTAAATCAACTAATTTGGCCCAGTTTGGTTCTGAATTTTATTGTTATCTGAATTAAATAAAGGCAACCGTTCAAAAGTTAAAGTTTAGCACGAAGATTATTACGTAGCTTTATTACGTCCGTAAAGAAATTATTGTACAAAATTCAGTCCCTGAGGGGTTAACCCCTGAAAGGCTAAAACGAAACATGAGATAAAGGTTGCAGCCCACGCAAGTGATGTTGTGGGGGGGGGGGGGGGGGGGACAATTACAATATTTTTGAACATAATTAAAAAATATAATAATAAACCCTCTCCTTACTTGACATTTCCTTTTAGAGACCCCCCCATACTAGCGTCTTTCCAGCGACGTTGTCGTGGCAGCGTCAGCGCCGCAACGGACGCTATTGCAGCGCTGGCCGGCTTGCATTATACTTGGTTGCAAAAAAACGTTGACGACAACACGACGTCAGCGGTGCATAAGACCGGGGCTCGGCAACCGGCCAGCGCTAGCGTCGTGTTGCGCGGACGCTGGAACGACGACGACGTTCCAAAGACGTTGTCATAATAAAATTATAATGTACGTATATATTAAAGTAATGTTTGTATGTGTTTTATTTATTTTATGAATGTAATGTTTTTCTAATAAAGTAATATTTAAAAATATTAGCTTTTTGCACTCATTTTATATTTTATTATTTACGTACCTGAAATAATATGGCAGTAAGAACCACTCTAAACTGTAGCAAAACATAGTATGAAGTGGGATCATAATGCGACAGATTAATAAATGCCAAATTATTGTAGAAGCAATATAGTAATGACGGCACAAAGTAAAGTAGGAGGAGTTTGTAATTTATTACTATGGCTTTAAGAACATGTGGTTTGTTTCTGAAACAAAAATACATTAGATAGTAATAATTAACAGTTTTTATTATAGCATGCTTTTTTGTATCAATATTCTTATCATAATGGAAGAGAAACATAAAGACATGTGCTGTTGTAATGTAACTTACTTTATGATATGTATTTAGATCAGGGTCGGACCCCTGGGCCACAGCCCCGCTTGCGCTGTCTTAAATCTGGATTCAGGGCTGGCTCTGATTTAGGTAATCATACACATAATAAGTCCGCACCAGGTATTCATTGTATAAATATTGCTATATTATTCAGTTTCATAATGTTATTAAAGCCTGACCTTGGGACTTGTAATTGGTGTATGCATTAATGTGAGGTAAGGTATGGTAATCTTCTCTTGATTTCTTAAGTCCAAAGCCCTATACCACATCTTATTTGTAATCATGCCATGGGGTTTATAAAAATATTTTTTTTGCAATTAAATAGTTTGTACATAACAATCTAAAACATTAATAACTACATAAGTCCAGAGACTGTGTCGCAGTTATTAGCACCCCACATCGATCATTATAACTAGTAACAATAAACACTAATAAACTAACATTTACATCTATAGAAACTTGTCATTGTGTGCTTGTTTGTGAGTGTGTGTGTGGTAACACACTGATATCTGCACTGAGATAGCTTCTGAAAAATTCCAGTACCAACCCACGGACCCCCAAGATTTCCAATTTGTGTAATTATAGGGATGGAGACAGTGTCAAAAGCCTTTGAAATGTTTAAGAAGAGGCACAGAGACTTTAACTTCTTCTTTAAGTTTTTGACTATTAACCCAGTAGGTTTAAGGACCGCATCTTCAGCGGATTTTCCCACTCTGATTTGCTAAAATAGTTTGTTTAGCACCCAGAAAGTCAGTTAATCTATTATTTAGTATTATCTCTAAGATATACGAGAAAACAGAAAGCACGGAAATGGGGCTATAATTTTCCACTTTTGAAAATAGGGTAAACAATTGCTCTTTTAAAAACACTTTCCTAGTGTTTACATCACAAAAATCCAAAAATTTGAATATGTATTTTTAAAAGTTCCAATTGGACTACACTAGAACTGCTGGAAAGGTTTCCACTAGTTCCAACTGCTTACGCATTCAGTATACTAAATGAGTAGGCAGTTTGTATAATTACAATCACTTCTTCGAAATCTAATCCTCTATCTTGAAAGGAATTATTAGGTCAAGTTGTTGTAAAAATATCAATGAATAATTACTAAAAAACAATTTTATTGAATTGTTTTTTTAGTTTCAAGTTCCATTTGACACAAACCAGAACAGCTTCATTTTTTCAGAGCCCACACACTATTAACACTGATTGTGGTAGATAAACAATTCATTATCATGAATGTCCTTTTTTGGACAACCAATGAGTGTTCATCATGCAGCCATGAGGGGATATCACATGGCCCACAAAAGGACATTCATCCCCTTTCCCCTCCCTCCCAAATCCTTGAAAAATGTCTTGTAGTACAGTCTTAATCTCAAATTTAAACCATAAATATCTCCTCAGCCCCAGGTCCCGGGGACGTATGGAATAGCGTCACCCCGGGTCTGACAAAACAGTTAAAAACACATATAAGAAACAAACCAAATGGTACTTAATTCCATTATATGTAATTGAATTTCGGGGTAATTTGTAGGGGGGGGGGGGGGGGGGGGGAGGGGGGCTCCACCGGCTCCGGAAATGCAGTTTTTTTTTTACCTAACCTAAAAATTCATTAAATCTGTTAAATGACGTGGAATTTCAGGGGGATAGGTATTAGGGAAGACCCCTCAGAGGGAAGGGTAACCCCTCCCGGCGTTTTTTTTATAGAAATGATAATTATAAAAAATTAGAGGGGTTTAAAAGGTAAAACTGTACTTCCAGGGCCTAGTATCACCTATATTTGATTTTTTTGTAGAAAAAGTCTATTAACGAATTTTTCTTTCTGGGGCTTCGCCGGCCGCTGTCGCGGCACGCTCGCTTCGCTTGCTCGGCTCGCGCGTTAGTGTCACAACACTAACCTAACCTAACCAAGTCTGAAGTATCACCACACAAGCGGCTCATTAGAGTCCAAAACTCGCACTACACTCGACTCTTCAGACGAAAGGACAGCAGAACTCGAGGCCGAAGGCTTTGAGGATACCATGTTAGTCAGACGATGTTAATATCAACAGGAGTACGAAAAAGCTCTCAACTGCGACGAACACAAACACTGACCGTCAGATCTCATTAATGGCGGTAAATTGTCACATTTTGACAATTATGTTGATCTAGGCAAAAGAGCTAGCGGTCTACCTCATAATAAGTGGTGACTGCTGCCCATAAAAACTTGCAGCAACAAGGGCCACTCATGCGTTGCCGTAAATTTTTAAACCCGGACTACAAATAAAACCCCGCCCGGACGCTCCCCGGACGCCCTGTAAACTAGGACAAATCCGGGGAAACCTGGACAGATGGGCAGCCCTACTCTTAACCTACAAAAATATTAATTTTCAATCATTTTTTTCTTGAGTTCTATTTGTTTCCGCCTAAAAAGTTTTCGTGTGCGTGTTTTTAATAGTTAATACTTTGCGTGACAAACATTTCAGCTTGCAACTCAATTACATATAATGGAAAGCTGAGCCAACCAAATAACCCAGACCATTTTAATAAAGCGAAGAAAATGGAATAATAAAAAAAAACATAAATATCTCGGGAACTTTACATTTGAGCATGGGTAGTGGTAGGGGGTAATCCTCAACCCCTTCTCTTGGTTCCAGCTCTTAAATCTACAGACCATAATCAATATATTCACCGCACATTGTGTAATCCATACGTTATCAAACAGTCCTTTTGTGAAATAGCTGAATTGACTTCACAAAAATTACATAGATAAATTTTAAAATATGGTGATCCATTATCTAAATTGCTATACTATTGCTATGGTTCTTAAATATAAAGGATTATAGGTAATTTATGGCCACTAGTTTGAGGTTGGAATCTTAAAAATGGAACTGCATATGCTGAGAGAATGTTACTTAACATGAATACCAGGTGAAGGAGTTTCCAAATAAGCTCTGTCAATATATAAATTATAAATACTTACTCTTTCTTAATTGTGTATAATATGGCAGACAAGATAAGCTTGAGCAATTCCGAAAGAAACACCACAAGAGTAGTGTTGTAGTCATATCCACCATTTTCTGTTTTAGATGCAGTAACAAATACACCTGAAATTGCAGTAACATGAAATGGTCTGAAATTGGAAATAATAAATAATTATATATAAGATGACAGAACAGTATGTGGCAATTGAATTAGACTACCTATATTTACTACGCATAGTCTTATACACAGTCAAGTATTGCCCACTTTCACAGCTTTCAACATCATCTTATTTTTTATAAGATGATAACTGTACTTCCAGGGCCCAAGAGGTGATACTTGAATTTCTTTTGTAGAAAAGGTCCCTTTTAATAGTTTTTTCCCTGGTCACAATACTAACATAACCTATATAGTGTGAAGTATTACCGCTTCGGCCCTGGAAGTACAGTTTAGTAGATTAAAATCCTCAAATAAAAAAATATAATACTTAGCAAAGTACCTATCACTTAGTTAATTTACTAACACACTTATAATATTTAATTTTATCAGCCTTTATATTGGCTATTAAAACCATATTTTTTCATAAAAAAATATATCATACTTTAATATTATAAATAGTAATGGATATAATGGTGAATTGGTTTTAAATTCGATTCAATCGAGTTAAATGTTTTACCTTGAAAGACAAATAATATTATGTATAAATTAAAAATTATAAAAGCTTCTTTGTTAGCAAAAAGGTCCTTTTTCATTTTAAAATAACACAGATTTAATTAAGTACAGGAAATTAAAGTTTTAGGTAAAGTAATCAAAAATTCTAATCTTTTCACACAAACACAAGTCAAAATTTAGAACATTATTTTTTGTTTTTTAAGGATCTCCCTTTTTTAAGAAAGGCAAAGGAAACAATGTCCATACAGCCGAGTCTTATAGTTATGTTAATCTTCTTTTTTATATTAGAATGTCGGTGTGACGCATTCTAATGTTTCTTGGGGTGTTTGGCACGAAATGTATGGAGTTGCCTTTTTGATAAGCTTCTGTGGGGTAGTCAACACTCCAATAAAGTTCTTATAATGCGATTCAACTAAGAATAGGACCGACTGGGTGCCATATTGTGACGTCAATGCTGTCAATTCAAACCAAATAGGTAGAGTAAAGAAAAAAAATTTTATTTAATAAAGTTTATTCACTAAGATTAAATGAGAAAAATATCAGATGTTTTTAATAAAATTTATTTACTAAGATTGAGAAAAAACCACAACTGATTTTTAATAATATTTATTTATTAAGACTGTGTGAGAAAAAACATTTAGCAGAATCTAGCTTTTCGTTTCTGCTCATCTCTGCATTACCGCCGGAGTAGTTATGAATAATCATGCACTATTACTAGGTCACATACGAACATGCATACTTTACGTAAACATAAGTTTTAAATCGAGTTTATCCAACTTAAAGTGACATTTGGTTGACGATTTAGGTTATCAACCAGTCATAGCCAAAGCTCAATAAATAAAAAAAAAAAACAATATTTGTTATAGTTTGTTTACAAATGTTTGGTTTTTATTTAAGGATTAGCTGAGTGCTAAGAAAGGGTTCCAAGATTTTTTTGCAAGCTGTACTTTTCAAGCGACGTTTGACAGACGGAGGTCATTAGCTTTCCTATTCTTATTTGAATCGCACTACGTCCACTTGACCGGAATAGCGTATATTTTAAAGATTCCACTAATTCTTCAGTTGCGCAGACGGTTGTAACACAAATCACACCAATTTTTTTCACAATATCTACTATGAACGAATTTAAGAATAATATTTTTTTTTCGTTTGTCCTTTCGGACAGGCTAAGGTCTGGGACCATACTGCCTCGTCATTAGTTATTTTTCTTCTTTTTATTATTAAAATTCAATATAACTTCCTCGGTTTGATAATTTCCGGTATATTTTCTAGTTTTTTGTTTTACTCTATTATTATGTGCTTTTTTCCGAGCACAATGAACATCTTAAACACCAAACATTTAATTTTTTCTCATAGTAGACAGTCCAATTATGAATTAATTTCATCCTATATTAATTTCATATTTATTTAAAATCTTTTTTATAGTACACATTTACACAAAAAATAAATCATAGACCAATACCATGCAATACCCTAATCCTAATACAAAACTAAAAGAAAAAACAAATCTAAAAAAACGACATTTGATACGTTTCAAACTTGTTTCAAACCGACGACGACCTAAACGAAACAGAATACCTACAAGCAAAATTACGAAGATAAACATTTTTTTCAAACAAATAAAAGAAAGAGAACATGCGATACCTATTAAACTTAACTGAGCGTTTTGTGTACATTTAACCTTAAAATGTAATACTTAACAATATTACAGAATATTTATATTTCTTCAACAGTGTTTTCAATGAAATTATACAGAGGAACGTATGTACAATTATTTACAAGAAGATCGTTCAAGGAACGCGGGAGCAAATCATGTTTGCCATAAATTTCGATTAGCTCATCCAACAACACAAGGCGCTGAATGCCGAAGGATGGGCAGTCAAAGAAAATGTGAGCTAAGGTTTCTTCTTGGGAATTGCAATGAGTACATTGAGCATTATTCACCATTTGCAATCGAAAGAGATGGAAATTAAGCCGACAATGACCAAACCTTAAGCGAAAAATCGTCGTATAGAATTTTCTATTCAAAAAGCTATTTGATTTGCAGAACCATGGCAATTTGTTTACATCAACATAGAGGTGTGTACCATAGACCTTTACCTTTAACCTGCACTATATAATTCCAATGGGCTCGCCACTCTTGGTGCATTCTTTCCTTTAGCAGAACAATCAAATCTGTATAAGGTATATACATCTTCTGAGTATTGGTTTCAGTAGCTAGAGTATTGATAGATTTTGCTAGATAATGTACATTTTCAAATAATAATTAAAATAAAATGCCAACCGCACTCGATAAAATCCCGCCAAAAACTCTTTTGTTTTGTTTTTGGGACGCACGGTTTGTGCATTTGCCACTCACTACAAGTATAAAAGGTAGGGAAACTAGTTTTATACCGGCCATACACACTACGAGAAATCGTTACGATCAGACTGTACAGTTCGAACGGAACAGTTTATACGATTTCGTTTAGTATAGGAAACTGTGCAGTTTTATAACATACACGCTACGATTTATCGGTACCGTTCGGACTGTACAGTCTAATCGTAACGATTTCTCGTAGTGTGTATGGCCGGTATTAGGAATCATTGGGACAATTCGAAATTTGGAGAAGATAATAGGATTATGGTAATAATATTATATATGATAATACTTAAGACATATTATATAAAAAAAGAGTATGCTTATGACCACACGACTGAAGTGAAACTTCTTTAGCTCCATCTGTATGTATATGTATATATATTAGGGTGTCCTAAATAAATTAAAGTGATATTTTTTAATGAATACCCTCATATTTTGTTTGTGTGGTTTCAAAACATTTTAAAATAAAGTTTTGCGTACTTAGGATCACGACAACCCGTGCCGACTTGCAGCGAAACGTGTCTGTACTTGCACGGTACGGCGCGGCGACGGAAATCTAGCATTACCGGTTCCAAACTTCCTTCTAATGAACAAGTACTGGGAGTTTTGTTAAATAATATTCGTGAAGAGAATTTAAGAGTCAGTGAAAGTGCAAATCTTACTATTCGTTAGTGTATTATTTACTGGGAACAGGCACGTATTCCGACTAAATCATTACCAAACTGTGTTAAGAAACTAGTTTCATTGTAACAAGTTTGGAAAGGTTTGCAAAAAAATGCGAAAAAAACATAATGGCGGCTCCACATTAGTGCCGTGAATTCACGTGCGAATTCATGCCATGAATTCACGGCACAAGTCGTGCCCTCCACATTCACGGGATGCTCACAATCGTTCGTGAAACCCGCCGCGAAATGGACGTAGAAGCTGCTGCTGCAATAACTTTGTTTGCTGTGGCAACATATCACTATTTAGACGTACAAAACTCGAAAGTAATTAGAAAGCGTTGGAAAAAAAGAAGATGGTGAATGACTTCAATACATCGTAACCGATCAAGGTATGTTTGCTTGTTTAGTAAATTTGAATTGACTTAGTATGATTAATTTATTAGTGATTAGAACTGTCTTTATTAACTACATAAAATTCATTTCAGACTTTCTATGGAGAAGCAGTTATAAGAATTACATTCTGAACCCAGTGGCGAATTTAAAAAAGGAGGACGGGCATTTTGGTATCCAATTGGTGTTTGGTATCAATAGCGATGAGTGTTATATCATTGAATATCTCTTTTCATGTAGAATATTAGTTAGTATGGCGGCATTCTGATATTTGTTGTCTGTTTTTATTTTTTCCAGAAAATACCAGAACCATTTTTGCCGGATCCGTTATTACCATTATTTATTAATACAGAACCAAAAAGAGAAATCGAGTCACTGAATCAAGTACAGAGTTGAATACGGGATGCTATCCCCTCCCCCGCCCGTATTTTTAAGCTCTTACGACAAAAATATTTCAATAACGCATTACCGCACATGTTTTGTGACTTTAAAATAGTTGCCTCTTTCCTTAACCACTTTCATTTACCGATTACAAATAGAAACATATAGAGAAAATACACTGGAAGACTTGCCTGAATACGGCATAGATCAAAATGTTTGTTTGTTTCGAGGACGAATCCGGTCTCGTCATGTTCGAGCAAGGACCTATTACTGCTACGTATTATTCAGCAATAACGACTTACCGAATAATAATTCGGAGCGGATTCGAGAAATGAGGAGCTCGATGGCGCAAGTGGTTAGCGCGTTCGGCTGCGATCGTTGAAGTTAAGCAACTTTCGCAGTGGTCGGTCATTGGATGGGTGACCAAAAATTTAATAACATGAGCTCCTCCGTGCTTCGGAAGGCACGTTAAGCCGTTGGTCCCGGCTGCATCTGCAGTCGTTAGCACCCACCAATCCGCACTGGGCCCGCGTGGTGGGTCATGGCCCAATCTCCCTATTCCATCCATATGGAAGGCCTGTGCCCCAGCAGTGGGGACATTAATAGGCTGATGATGATGAATAATAATTATAATAATATAATTCAACATTATTGTACATGTCTAACCGGTAGACGTACCATAGGAACTTGTGCTCACATATTATCAATTATATGGTACCTAGGCTATGCCAGGCACGCCGGATTCGTCGCTCCTGCACTGTTCCTAAATGACATCCTTATTATAGATAATGAATAAAGAAATTACATAAAAATGTGTTTCTTTCACTCTGCCTCTGGATAACTGCATACATAAAAAATGAAATGAATAAAAACATAATGTACCAACAAAGATTAAGATTTAAAATCTATTTTATCTATTTTTGTTATTTTTATTTTTGTTAAAAAAGTTTTTTATTAAGTGTTACCGTCATTGGCGTATCTAGGGTTATTTTTCAGGGGGGGCCTGGGCCCCGACATTGAAGAGTCATCTGAAGTTAGTGATTAGTATTATAGAATTTCGAATCAGAAGTCCAACATCCTGGGTTGAGCACAAGACCGTCCTGGGGTGGGCACGGCCCACTCGGCCCCCCCTCTATATACGTCCAGATAAAAAGCTAGTTATTGTTTTTTTTATTATGTTATTTACCATTTTCTTTTATTAACGTTCTCGTTAAGGATAAACATTAAATATTTCACACGAGGTTGTATTGTTACTAAGTCGGAAAGCAACATACAGTTTTTTTAAACTATTGCAGGTATCAACGCTCTAACCTAATGCCTATTGTTAATACTTACAACACTGCTAAAATAATGTAAATACTAAAATGTATAACAATTTAAAAAGAAAAAACTTTTTTTATTGTTTATTATATAACTCTGTTTCGACTACGTATCAGGGCAAGCGCCATAGTAGACATTGGTATCAATTCTGACATGATTCTCTAAACCTAAACTTAAATTTGACAACAGTGTATCCTTGTTATTCTCTATACAGCATGAAAAGGAGAGACTGATGTTAAATTTAGATTTAAGTTTAGAGAATCACGCCAGAATTGGCACCATTATTGTATTCAAGTAGACCTTTCAAACGATATGTAACACATCTCTATTGGAACGGATACCAAGTTCCATACATTTTTGCCCATCATCCTTTACTCGTATGACAATAGTGGACTTTGAATATTTGCTTCAGAAAGTATCTCCAATTATATCCAAAACTGATACCCAATTTAGACCAGCAATTTGTACTCCTTTGTAATCCGGAGTAAACTGGCATGGGGCCGTGAATGTGGATGTGTACGCGTGAACGACGCGCGAAGTAAGCGCGAACCCTTTGTCGCGGTGCAAAATACCGACTCTGATCGGGGAACAGGCGTGAACACGCGTGAATGCCGCGTAAACCGTCCACATTCACGTTCACGCCTGTTCACGGATCTTCACGGCACTAATGTGGAGCCGCCATGAAGTGTTTGAACGAAAAGAGTTACTTTCCAACATAGATAATTTGTTTGACATTACTCAAGCTGATGCGCTTTAGCTAATTAAAATAAATGAAGATAGGATTCTTGGAGCGCTAAAGAGATCGGAGAAAGCGGCCTAGTCACTTAGCCGGAGTGGACAAAAACTTACAGAAAAAGAAGAAAATGTTTTGACGACCTCCGTGGCCGAGTAGTTTGTACGCCGGGTTTCATGGTGTCACCGTCTCGAGAGGTCCCGGGTTCGAATCCCGGTGAGGGCAGATGTTTGTGTGATGACTACGATCATTTACGACTACGTTCTCCAGTCATGGATGTTTAATATGTATTTCTACATAAATATACCTACTTATATATGTACTGTACAATATTCTATCCGTTACCCAAGCATCCCATAACACAAGCCTTACAGTGCTTACTTTGGGGGCTAGGCTAATTGGTGTGAGTGTTGGAAATATTTATTTATTATGGGTTAGAGAGGTTAGAGCGTTGACACTACACGTAAATATGTCTCTAACTATAGTAAATGTAATGTAATGAAACCAACATGCTTCTGGCGTGCCACAACACGACATGACACTGTAATATGTTTCTGGCTTAAGTACAGGGTTGCCAACCGTACGAGAATTCTAGTACAAATACGAGATTTCTGGTCTTCCATATGGGGTACAAGAACACTACAAATATGTCGAGATGTTGGAGCATAAACCGTAAGTATCCAAACTAGTATTTTAAGCATTTAGCTGCTAGAGGTTTGAATCACAATAAAATATTACTGGAAAAACATTTCGTTACAGTCTATCGATAATTTAACAATTCTAGGAGACAATTCTCTGGCAAACCCAGGGGTTAGACGAGGGGGTGTCTATCGTGTACGACGTTCGAAAGCAAGATTACGATATTTTTAGCTGCAGAAGTACGAGGAAAAAATCTATGGTTGGCAACCTTGCTTAAGAAGTTTGGGTACAGTACCCCTTGCCTTCCCGGAATGGTTAATTGCTTAAATGTAGTCTGAGGCTGAATGTCACTTAATGTCAGTGTCAGTAAGGTGTGATTGTGATAAATGAAGACTATGGCTGCATGGCTCTGACTTTGCCTTTCCCAAGATTGGAAAAAAAGATATAAAAAAAAAGTGATTGTGATAAAAATTGGGAAAATCATTGGAATTTGGGATTAGTGATTTACAAAATAGAGAAAACTCACGTTCTGTTACTTTACTTCCTAGCAATAAATAATAATGTTGGATTTTTAAAGCCGCGACACTGTCTATAACCGATACTATTTTGGAATGTAAATTGTGTATTGGTCCCAACCTTTGTTATTTATTTACGATGTCTGGAGAAGATGACGATAGTACCTGGTACATATCACAATTTCTAATTTCCTTTGCCTATTTTTAGCAGCAAATACATGCAAATACATTGTGTACCTAAATATTTTCTTTTTGAGCTTTTTGAGAACATTTTAGCGTTCACCATTTTAATATTAATTGTAATGTTAAAATTTCCAGGTTGATAGAATTAGAGTCTGCTCTTTTGGATGGATGTTCAGCACAACAAATAAACACCCTCACTAAAGGCAAGAAAATACCGGAAACCTTACGTCCTGATGTTTGGCTGCTTTGTCTTAACTGTCAGGATGCTGGCAACCAGTTATTGATGTTTGATGAAATATTTGATTTAAACAACCAGAATGAATTAAGGGATGATGTCAAGAAGTTTGTTAATAGATTGGGTAATGATGAGCATGATAAATTGGCAGTAATCTCAGACATTGAATCAATCATCACTTTTTATTGCAAATCTAAGAATATCGCTTACAATTCTAATAATGGCTGGATTGAAATTCTGTTGCCACTGTTGAGCTTAAAACTTCCAAGATCAGATACCTACAATTTATTTGAAAATATACAAAAACTCTACATTCCAAAAGGCTGTGTTAAAAATGGAGTACCATTTCATATATTAAGATTGATACTGCAGTATCATGATCCAGAACTGTGTTCTTTCTTAGACACTAAACGAATAACACCTGAACAGTATTGCTTACCATGGTTGAGGTCACTATTTGCTGGTCCGTGTAACTTAGAAGTTGTTCTCTTTATGTGGGATTTATATTTTCAGAGATCAGATCCATTCTTCATATTTTTCCTCTGTTTGATAATGATAATCAATGCAAGGGAACAACTCCTGCTAATGAAAAATGAGGACAAATCCAATATAATTACAACATTGAAAAATATGCCTGCTGATTTAGATGCAAATGATGTGTCTGATTTTTGTTCATTAGCTCATTATTATTCATTGAAGACACCAGTGTCTTTTAGAGAAGATGTTCTAGAAGTTTTATTTTCAGAATCTGGCATTGAAATAAATGCCAAATTGTATTCACAAGCTCTATGTCTTCCTGTAGCAGTGCATGAATTAATTGAAAGTGCAACAATTGATGCATCTAATATGGATAATGTTAAATTCTTTTTGGTAGATTGCCGTCCTGCAGAGCAGTACAATTCAGGTCATTTATCAACTGCCTTCCATTTAGATTGTAATTTAATGTTACAAGAGCCTAATGCCTTCAATACTGCTGTTCAAGGTTTGTTAAATGCACAGAGACAAGCTTTAGCTGCTGGGTCACTTGCTGCTGGTGAACACCTTTGTTTTGTTGGTTCCGGTCGTACTGAAGAAGATAGTTATGCCCATATGGTAGTAGCATCATTCCTAAAACGGAACACTAAACATGTGTCTATGTTGGAAGGCGGCTTTGTGGCTATACATGATTATTTTGGCCCACATATGGCAGACTGCTTAGAAGAACACAATCCCTCAACATGTTTGGTTTGTGCTCCAAACAACAATAATGAAGGTCATGTTATGAGAACTACTAAAGCAAGAGAAAATATCCCAGCAATTCAATTATTTAGTAAACTATCAACGGCTATGAAAAACAAAGGTCAAGAAGTGAAAGGAAAACTTATTGAGTACATAGTAAACCCAAATGCCACAATTAATAATGGAGAATGGCATGTATCTGTCAATGATAAGAAAGATCAGCGGTACAGAAATGTGCCCCCAGTTTTCAGTATAAATGATGAAGATGATGACTCTCGGTCCGATAGTAGAAAAGATATAGTTGATTCTGAATCATTGGAAGAAATAGTAGACATACAGACTTACATAAAGGAACATAATGTTGTAAGTAGTTTTCCATGCCAAGAGGTGTTGATTAATGGGTATATGCATGATTCCCATTTAATTGTCACTGAAACACATTTAGTTGTTTTGCGTGATATTCTTAATAAAAAAGGAACAGCAAAAGTTATGTCCAGGAGGCCTCTATCAACTATAGTAAAAATCACAGCAAAGAAGAGGCATCCTGAATTAATAACTTTTAAATATGGCATTCCAGATGGTGATAATTTATTGATTAAAGATATGGATCGTTTCCTTATTCCTAATGCCTCTGTAGCTACCAGAGTTGTTTCAAATCAGATTGTTCAACAATTTGACAATAAACTGCAATAAGTCCTATGTTGTAAGGATTTTTTTATGTTTTCTTTTAAAATTATCTTAATAATCACATGTTGTTTACACAATTTATTTATTATTCTGTAATCATCTTAATAGTAAACAATAAGGTTGGATAAGTTAAGTAGAGTTTTGTCTCATCACTCTTAATTTGGCCTTTATTGTACATGTTATAAATATTATAAATTACCTATATTAATTTATTCAACAGTTGATAACTTATTTATAGCTAGATCTTCACCAGGCATTGTTTTAAAGAATTCTATATTACAAAAAATAAATATCAGTTCACTTTTTGATGTAACTATACTTATATTTTTATATTAATGTCAATTTGAACAGAATTATAATTGCCTGATTATGTGTCACATTAACTAAAAGTTTGTGAAATTATAAATTCTTACTTTAGGGAAATTCACAAAACAGATGCTAATTCACAAAGTGTATAATGATTCTACATGGTATCTGAATGATATTGCTATTAAATATGATTTATTGTGAATAAAAGTTAATTATAGATCTAAAGTTAGTGACGTAATATGTTATTGACTGTAATTGTTGTAGTTCATTAGTGCTTATATGATTTATTATAAATATCTAAGTCAAAGATTCCATAAAACTAAAATGTCCCATTTGCGATGTCGCCATTTTACGCGGGTGCGGCTTCCTTAATATCGTTGATTTAGCTTGCGATATCGGACCGGACAGAGACTTTAAAGGCAACACACATAGGAATTAAGCGCTAAATGGAGGCAGAAACGTAGCGTGATCCTCGTCAAGATCGGCTCTTTGTTTTGTTAGTTTTTATTATTATTAGTTTTGACACAAGTTAGGCGCAGCCTTAGATTAAATCAAAGATTTAATTGGAACCCTACAATAAAACAATAGTTTTTAAAAGTGTATTCTTTATTACCTAACTAGCTGTTGCCCGCGACTTCGTAGGCGTGGAATTAGTCATTTTAAGTAGCCTATTGTTTATCCAATCTGATTTTTCTCAGTCTGTTTACGGTTTGTATTTGAGTCAAGTTTTAAGTCTCTTAGTTTACCCAAGGAATAAGATTTTTCATACAACCTTTTATTAAAACCTAAAACCCCCATTTGAAACCCTTCGGGGGGGGGGGGGGGAGGGTTCCTTTCTTAGTGCACACTTAGACCGTGTACTGTCATACTTTCAAAAAAATATTTTTTTCAATTTCTTTCAATAAATAAGAGCGACAGGCGGCCAGCAAGCTCCGCCTCCTCGTTTCGCCCGCTGCCGCGCCGCCAGCGTCTTGTTTTGCTTGCATCAAATTGCGTGCGTGGATTTCCTTAGCAGAGTTATTTTAGAAATGTATTTATTATACTCTTCAGAGATCTTTACTTACAATCATCAACAAATATATTTCGAAAAAGATTATTACAGGATTTTATGTTGATAAAAAACTCTATGGCCCATAATTCATTAATAGGTACCAAATCTTAACATCTTACACACGTGATAACTTTTAAACGAAATATCCGATTGAGATGAAACAAAAAGTATTTTACTTCTACATAAATACTCTTGATAACATAATGCTTAATTTTGGTAAAGATTAATATTACGATACATATATTTAACGTCGTTTTTTTTTCGTCAGACGATTTAATAATTATTTTGAACACAAAATCGGTTATTGTGATTAAACCATGATAGCTAGATATATGTTCTCGCGGACTTTTTTGTAGGTCTTAATGGGATCTACAAACTCGTACGTCATTTTGTTCTATTGTCAATAGTTTTTGCAGCGCACGCAAAAATTGGTTTTCGATTTTACACCTTGTGTTACAAAATAGCAATTTTATTATGGATCCCTAATTTTGAAAAAAAGATATAGCCTATAGCCTTCCTCGATAAATGGACTACCCAACACTGAAAGAATCATTCAAATCGGACCAGTGGTTCCAGAGATTAGCGCGTTCAAACAAACAAACAAACAAACTCTGCAGCTTTATAATATTATAGTATAGATAAGCCTAATAAAAGAACCATCTAACAGTTACTTATTACTTACATAACAATTTTAATAATAGAAGATATAAAAAAAAGTAATTAATAGGAGGTATTTTAACTTTTTTTTCATCAATTGGTTGATATCAGGTTTGATAGAGGACAGTTGAAGTCTCATATCGGGTTCGGCGTTCAGTCTATTGCGGTATTTTGTTTTCGTGGCTGCCTAACTTGAGAATCCTGTTTCGCACAAATATGTTGTTGGGAGAAGAATATTCAGAGCCATTTTGGCAAGCATTGTATATTCACCACGGATTCTGCACCAAAAATCTTTGAGAGGCGTCGTTTTGAACACCATACTTGTGTCTGATGATATTTCTCTCTTATCTTGTTTGACATACTTTCAGGCTTTTGTAAGTTGGGTAAAAAAGGATTATGAATCCACGAATTCAGTTTCATTTTTGTATTCTATTCTTTGGGACAATACTTCTCAAAAGATGCGCGCATCTAAGTGAGATGGTGCCAATTCTGGCGTGATTCTCTAAACTTAAAACTAAATTTGACATCAGTCTCTCCTTTTCATTCTGTATAGAGAATGACAAGGATATACTGCTGTCAAATTTAAGTTTAGGTTTAGAGAATCATGCTAGAATCGACACCATTGTACCAAATCTTCAAATACATCATCTTGAAACATTTCTGAGTCGTTATCGCTAACAAACTCACTGAGTGACGTAAAGCTTTCTATTTCTCTCTTTCCAATGCAAATAATCCAAAAATCTAATTTTCTTTTGAAGGCAGTTATTTTGTTATAAGCCTGGAACACTGTTGTCTGTTTCCCTTGCAATGATAAATGTAATTCGTTCAGTTTTTGGAACATAATCGCCATAAAAGACAGTCGGAACAACCAAGTTTTATCATACAAACGCTCTTTCAAATAAAAAGAAGTACCTATCTGAAGGACACATTTGTAACTCATTATATACTCATTGTACTCATATTTTGGCTGTAAGTTCAAATATCCTTGTTAAAGTTTTAGCCCGAGACAGCTGCCGCACTTCTTTAAGGAGTAGACGTGTTTTTTGTTAGCTGCCATAATCTTTACTCAATAATGAGAACAATCGGAATTGTAGCGGTCGTGATTTGATAATAGTTATTTATTATACAAGAGTGGAAAGTTCCTTTTTAACCGCGTGCTCGATTTGGATGACCGAGCAAGCGAAGGATTCTAAAGTTGAATCACGAGCGCAGCGAGTGATTCTAAATTAGAATCCTGAGCGTCAGCGAGGGAAACAAACGAGCACAAGGTGAAAAATCTTTCCACTCGAGTGCAATACGTAACTTTTCATCCCACCTCAGCGAGGAAATGACAAAATGAAAAAGAAAACAATTTATAATGACAAAATATTTAAGCAATAAAACGTGAAAAACTAGAATGGCGCGAAGCACGCAAATAAAACAAAGAAACCAAGAAGGTTCCAAATTTAAATTTTTTCACAATTTAAAAAGTTCTAATCATAAATTTGGCACCATAGAGGTTACATTAAATAGGTTTAATGACGTTTTGAATTTACAATTATATTGAGTACTCATTATATGTGATGTTCTAAATTCAAATCTACTTTGCCGCTCAAGCGAATAAAATAGAATTTTCCAGCCAGATTTCGAAGCGCAAAATTACACTTTCCGAGGTGGTGGGATGAAAAATTAATTATTTTACATTTGAAGGCATTTGCTTCATCGCAAGTGCTTGTCTATACAGGATAGAATGATTGCTACTACTGTATTACTGCGCCCCATCTGTACAAATGTCAATGCAATCATTCCTACTGAGATTATTTTCCGCAAAAACTATATTTATTTTATTTAAATCTTTGATTATATTAAAACTTTCTTCTCCAGTAGTGTTTGTGGGCAGCGGTGAACACAATAAGCATAGACATGCTGCATGAAGAAGACTTCAAAAGAACTTTCATATTGATATCTCACGATAACCAGCAAGATAGCCAGACCAGCGACATCAGTCGACTCATCTATTTGCAATCGTGTTTTTTGTAGATAACTAGTTCTTGTTTGACGTAGCTTGCCAGATCACGAATTCGCCGTGAAACAGTATCGTTTGATGCGGTTTGCGGCACAGCAGAAATATGCTTTGCAGATTTTTCATCGAGCATACATTTTGTTATGTCTAACACACATGGTTTTATTAACTTCAAAGCTATACTGTGCGCTTCACCTGCTTGTGCAATGCGATAGCTAACTAAATATGATGGCTCCGTGGCCTTTTCATTGATAGTTTGGGTTACATGCATCATAGTTATTTGACTTTCCAATAATTGTTTTTTTTACGTACCAAAAAATTCTTTATTCTTGTCTTTAGATTCGGGGTGTACAGTTTCTAAATGTCTGTGCAACTTGGCAGGTGCCATGAAACTATTAGGAAGCAGTTTACTACATAACATGCAGAGAGGTAAGCCGTTGGAATCAACAATTCCGAAACTGATATTATGATTCATCATACTTCCTTTTATTCGCCTTTGAAACCGTAGAACTTGACGTCTTGCATCGTCTGGATTTGTAATTGCTGTATACTCCGCGCGTACTGGTTTTGAAGATTCAGCTTCGTTACAGGATGTTGTTGCAACACGTTTAACGCCTTTAAGCCATCATTCCATTCTTCTTTATTAATAATATATAATGTTACACGTCAGATTGGTGGAGTTAAAATAATGCACGATCGTTACTGCGTTGAAGAATTTAGTCCAAAGAAGAAATGTACAAAAGTCAAAACTGATACAATCAGAATACGGCAGTAGAATAATAAACACGTCGACTGCCTAAGTGTCGTTCGGATTCTTCCACTTGGAGTGGGTTCGGGTTCGAAGAATATTCTTTCCCCGGGCTTCTACTCACAGGTGCGCCCCTGCGGGGTTGAGCGCCGTTGCTTCAGCGGCTGTCTAGCGACGATGTTGGTCTTCTGCTCTCGCCTGGAGTCTTGCATCGTGACCCTCAGCGCAGTCTGCCAAGCCGGGTGAGACCCCCTGGGGGGAGGCCCAGCTAGCGCCAGCGAGCAGGCCGCGGTTTTTGCAAGTGGGGAGCAGACTATTTGTTAGGGTTGGGAAGGTGGAGGAGGCCGGATTGGAGAAGGGTTGGAGCTGGGAGACGGCGAGAGCAGGCTGCGAGGTGCTGGTTTCCGCCTCCTGGAGTCTGTGGGGTAAGCAGAGTTAACATTGGAAATTGGTGCAAGATCTTGTAAGTGGGTGTTGGCCCTAGGTCGGCCCTAGGTCGGCCCTTGGTCGGCTCGATCGAACATCGCCCGTGATAGGCGAGTCACGAAGTCCTCGATTGTTTCAATTTTCAATTCTCTTGAAATCACTTCGTTGAGGACATAAAGTTGGGTCCGAGTTATTATCTTCAACGCCACGTTCTGCTGTTGCTGGAGACGCGTCTTCTGTGTCTGCGAACAAAGTGAGTACCAGGCCGGAGTTGCATAAGTTAATATGGGCTTAATGTATGTTTTATATATACTCACTTTTGTTCGCAGTGGTAGGTTGGATTTGAGACCGGGACGGAGAGCCGCTCTAGCTCAGCGGCTGTTAGTGATGGCGGCCTCGGCTTGGGCGTTTAATCTTAGGCCCTTGTCTATAATGATGCCCAGATATGTGACGGAGCTGGTCCAGTCGATGGGTTTTCCCTTTAGGGTGAGCTTAGGTGGGGAGCGCTTCAAGGTTGTGGGCGATAGCTGGTTGGTTGTTTTCTGTCTATACCCGGCTTGGCTATCATGACAACCCGGAGTTTCTTCCATGCGGTAGGAAAGTATTGGCTTCTCAGCATAGCATTGAAGATCTGTGAAGAGCCACATCTGCGGTTGTGGCTCTCCTTGGTAGCTCGGCTAGGGCAGTAGTGGGCAGGTTGTCTGGGCCAGGCGCCTTTCTGGGATTGAGGCGTATTGCAGCCTTCCCCAGTCTGCAGTATGAAGCAGTCTCCCGGGAGCTGGGGAGCGGGAGAGCCTAAGTGTCGAGGCGCGGTCATTGCTTTTATAGTCCTAGCCTCGATCTCCAACATTCTCAAAAATACTAGAGTCGGCGTCTTCGATAAATATAAAGCCAAAATAAAAATAGAAATACAAAAAATGCGGTGTAAACAATCTCGACTTTTCGTTTTGAAGTTAGAGCCGAAAGTCCTCTCAGGCCTCTGAGATAAGACGCTATAATTGTGAAAAAGCCACAATTATAGCGTCTAATCTCAGAGGCAGCTTTTATCAAAGGGACTGCGCACTCACGAGTAGATTTTGGCAGTGGCGGCCGGCATAGTAAAATTGTACGTGGCGACTAAGATCGGCTGCGCCTCGTGAACGGTCAGAAAGTTCGACCAGAGAGAGGTGTTTCGATTTTTTTTCTTAATTTTTGCGGAACCCCTACAGTGGTATCGTGGACCCAGGGTTCTGCTGAACACATTTAGAGTATGGCTGGCTTAGGCCATGCTCTATGTCTATATTGCTACGGCCACGTCGCGCTATCGCGAACATTTCCCGTTTTCACGACAGGTCGGGCCACTTCAGACCATGGCAAGAAATGTAATTATTTCTTGGTTAGATGCGTCATGAAAACGGCAAATGTTCGCGATAGTGCAATAGTGTGGCCGTAGCATAAGGCTTAGACAATAATTTAGTTAACTTGTTCTATCAGGGCCGACGCTGTCTAAGTCCGATTATCGTGTGTTGTATATAGCGAAATCTAATACGCTGTTCCAACAAGTTACTTGGTCGCTGATCCAATTTACATGTATAATAGATAATAGATTAAAAAGAAATTGGGTTCGGAAATTATCATGTTTTTATTTGATCAGATAAACTTCAAAATATTTACAATAAATTCCGGAAGTAAAATAAGCAATTATAGAATGATTGTTATGAAG